CGGGACGGAGTCGCTGCCCTGGGGCCGCCCAGGGCCATCTCCTCGCCCCGCGGGGAACTGCGGGTCGCTGCGGGCACTGCCGCGGCTCCTGCGCGTGAGAAACGGACGCCGGAGAGGTGGTTATGGACCGCGATTTACAGAAACCGTTGAGTTACGATCATGCAGCTCGTCAGAAACAGTGGTGGAGACGCGCGTGGGAACCGTCAGCGGAGGGTGAAGATGAGACCTCAGAGGAGTTTCATCCGGAGAAACACGCCTGAGTTCAGCAGAGCCCGGTCTTGTAGCGTGTGTTTTTTTCTTTTTAATCCTTTATTCAATCCTCACCCAAGGAAGTGGTTTCCTTTTTAAATTAACTGTATAGAGATGAAAAGAAATAGAGAGAGAGAAAGAGAAACACTGGTGTCGTGAGAAACGTTCCTTGGTTGCCTCCTGTGCCCTGAACAGAACGGAGCCTGCGACCTGGGTATGTGCCCTGAGCGGGAATCAAACCCACCGCCTTTCCGTGGAAGAGAGTGCTCCAGCCACCTAAGCCGCACAGGCCCAGGCATTCCACATAGCATTCCTATTTTTAAAATACATATATTTTTATTGATTTCAGAAAGAGGAAGGGAGAGGGAGAGAAACATGGATGATGAGAGTCATTGATCGGCTGCCTCCTGCACTCCCCACGCTGGGGATCCAGCCCACAATCTGGGCATGTGCCCTGACCCACCGGGAATCGAACCCTGATCTCCTGGATTATAGGTCAATGCTCAACCACTGAGCCAGGCCAGCCAGGCTGACTTCTGTTTTTACGTTTTATTGATTTTAGAAAGGGAAGGGGGGGCGGGGAGAAACATTGCTTTGTTCTTTCACTTACTTATGCATTGACTGCTTCTTGTATATGCCCTGACTGGAGATGGAATCTGCAACCTTTAAGTATTTGGATGATGCTCTAACCAACTAAACTACCCAGCCAGGATCTCCATGATTTCCTTCATATGCAAGGCCTCCAGTCAGTTATTCACAATTTTTTTCTACTATTCTGTTGCGATTTTTAATTATACTGAGGTTATATACATATTATGTAACCCCAGTGTTTTCAGAGCTGCTTTTACTTATAATTAGCAATTCCTCAATACTCCAGTGTTTTAGTTAATAATTTTTATTAAGCTTTCTCTATCCCAGTTGCTATGGAATTGAACATTAACTGCTAATGAATTGGTTCTGCCATTAGTCCTAGTAGATAAACCACATAAGGATGAATTTCGAGACAGATTTGGCCATGCCCTTGGGCTTAATGAAATGCTGAACATCTAGCCAGTGGAAACGGGATGCTAGTGACCCATGGTACACAGTGGTATAATCTGTTACCAGGGGCTGATTATGATGGAGTGGCAGGTATAGCACGTTTTCAGACCACGTAAGCGCTGCAATGAGTATTGAGGCAGTGAGAGGGATGACAAAGACTGTGGTCAGGGAAGGATTTTTCTGAGTTCACGTTATTGCCTACAAAGGGAAAATGGTAAATTCAAGTCCCCATATGAGAAATAGAAAGTTCCAAGATAGCCCTGGCCCATTTTGCACAGTGGTTAGAGCATCAGCCTACAGAAGGGTCTCAGGTCCAATTCCCTGTCAAGGGCATGTACTGCAGATGCAGGTTCCCTGCCCTAGTTGGGGTGTGTGTGGCCGGCAACCAATGGATGTTTCTCTCTCTCTTTCACTCCTACCCTCTTCCCTCCCTTCCAGTCTCTCTAGAAATCAGTGGAGAAAATGTCCTCAGGTGAGGATTTAAACAAACAAAAAAATGCCATGACAGTTCTAAAAGCAGCTCTGATTTCTGTAGCTACAGGGCTCGTATGGCTGGAAATCTAATCATTAATGTCTTGTTGGATTACAATGACAGCTAAATATAGCACCACAGTGTTTCTCATGTGAAACTTAGGGCATTGATTGATAAAGTGGAATTTGGAATCTTGGAATGGAGACATCCGGTTGGATGTAGAAGATAATGACAATCTGGAACGTAAAAAAAAAATTTTTTTTTCTTCTAGAAAAAGACAAGCATTAGTTCCTACTGAAGATTATGTCTAATTGAACAGTAGAAAAGCATTACCCCTATAGATTATGTCTACTGAACAGTAAGACACTATAGGAATAATGTATCAATAAAAATACCAAGTTTAAAATGCACAAAGCCAAGAAAAACCAACGATGTCAGATACTGAATTTATATCACACTGTCCTTTGAACACCCAGCAGGAATAAACTACTGAAAGCAGATACCATGCAGTGCATTGGAACTTTTAAGTAACTGAGTTTCTCAGTTACTTAAACTCAGTTACTTAAAATATCTAGAGAGACTAGCTTTCCTCTGCTAATATGACCTGGGGCAGCGGCCTGTAAAGGAAGGCAGATTCTTCACAAGACTCACCACAATAATCTGTAAATAGTACTGTTGGCACGATCCAGGGAAATAATCGACGCATCAGAACAACTGTGAAACCTTGCTATTATTTATTATCAGAAAACTGGGGAGCAAGCATCAGTATGGGTTCAATTTTCTGCCACCATTTTGTCCCTTTCAGAGGACAGAAAGTTTGGGATCCCCACATAATCTGCTTACCTCTACATGTTGACAGGTCACAATTTTGCTTTCAAATCATCCCGCACAGTAAACAGAACCAAAATTAAAGGCACAAAAGCAAAATGACCTTCACAAAATTATCATAAACCAGAGCAGTGTGCATCAAGCAGTACCCAAGTTTGTGAATGAGAACCTATTAAAATTCATGGCATAATATGAGAATAACAATGTCCCTCAGCCTTTCTTAGCTAAGGATGGGTCCTCTGAAGCAACACTGGGTCAGGGCCATTCCCTTGTCAGAGACAGGAATGAGGATCTCACCAAGAGCTCAGACTATTCATAATTTTCTCAAGCAAAATAAAAAAGACAAGTCACATTCCCTGAGCAGGTAGGGGCTGTGACTGATGCACACTTTGTAGGTGAGTCAGGTGGTAAAGGTCAAATGGCTTCAGCCATAAAAACTGGGAGTAATACCCATCTGGTAATAGCCCTGGACAGGTTATAAAGTGCAATGCAGCACCTTAAAGCCTTGTTTGTACCTGAAACTCATAAGAAATCTGGAACAGAGTATGTTCAGCTAGAAGAGATTGCAATTCAGGTAAATAGCTCTGAAACAGTCTCCTCTAGTGTTGTTAGTAATACTGAGGAAATAAAACATTCCCAGTACATTTAAAGCTTTTCTCCAGTGTGAACTTTCATGTGTTGAAAAAAGCGATGATTTAGTCGAAAAGTTTTCCCACATTCATTGCATTTGTAAGGCTTTTCTCCATTGTGAACTCTCTCGTGTTTAAGGAGGTAATCTTTGCAGATAAAAGATTTCCCACATTTACTACACTCATAAGGCCTTTCACCAGTGTGGACTCTGTGGTGTTTAAAGAGCTTAGAGTACTGTCTGAAGGACTTTCCACAATATCTGCACTGATACGGCCTTTCTCCAGTGTGAATTCTCTTGTGTTGATTAAGGACAGATCTTCGGCTGAAGGACTTCCCACAATCACTACACTTATATGGCTTTTCTCCAGTGTGAATTCTCTGGTGTTGAGTGAGAGCAGAGCGCTGGTTGAAGGACTTCCCACAATCACTACACTCATACGGCTTGTCTCCAGTGTGAATTCTTTGGTGTCGAATGAGTCTATATTTTTGGCTAAAGCATTTTCCACAATCACTACATTTATATGGCATTTCTCCAGTATGAACTCTCTGGTGACGAATGAGGCCAGAAGTATCGCTATAGGATTTCCCACATTCACCACATTCATAAGGATTTTTTCCAGAATGAGCTTGATGGTGTTGAGCAAGACCACTGCACTGTCTAAAGCATTTCCGACAAACACGATACTCACACGCCTTTTCTTCAGTGTGAACTCTCCTATGTGGAATGAGGCTTGACTTTTGATTTTGATGAAAGGTATTTCCACATTTGCTACACTCATAAAGCCCTTCTCCAGAGTAGACGCCCTGATGGTGAACAAGTTTCTGATTGTGGAAGGCAGCTTTTTCACATTCACCCCACTTGTGATGACTTTTTCCACTGAGAAACGCCTGCCCAGTGTCACTGCCATTGTGTGGTTCTGCACTGTTAGAAGCCTGGTGCTGAAAATGGCCTGAAATGGTTGGGAAGTCCTCCCCAACCGCCCTACAGGTGAATGGTGCCATTGATATGTAGAAGGTGCACCAGGTCACAAAAGAGGCCCTGCCCATATCTCCTACCCAAGGCTTCTCTCCACTGGCATCCCTCTGTTGCTGGTGAAGGTTTACACTGAAACAGAAGCCTCTCACACAGGCATCACTGGAGAAGGCTTTCTGCTCAAGGTATGCAGTTTGGAACTCAGTCAGGTGCAAAATACCTTTCAAGACTGAGAAGCAACGCTCACAAAGATGGGTCTTCTGGGTTGCTGCAGCTGCCTCAGCAGGCCTGACCTGTGACTGTCCTACAGGTACACTCGGCTCAGAAGGCGCCTCCTCATCTTCCAGTTTATGCCAACAACCTGAAAGGAGAGAAACGCTAACACAGACATTGACTTTTAGTGGGAGGGGGAAGTCCTATTACAAAGGTGTGTCAGATACAATATGCTGGTTTCATGAGATTTTCAGAAAATAAGAGACCTAGAGGCAGGTAGAATAAGGTGCTGCTGTGCAGTATTATGTCCCTGAAGATGACAAAATAGGGAAGAGTTCACCAGAAAGGGGACACAAAGATGGCATGTACGCCACAGAACACAAGCTAGATCTCCAACTCATTCTTCTTCTAAGTGTTCAGCCAGGCTTTTTTGCTGGTGACATTGGTAAGCTGTATAGAGGTTGGTCAGGTCTTTTTCCCAGTAAAATTCAATAAATGAGTAGCTGGTGTTCAAAGACCACTTAAGGATGTACGCATACATTGTAACACATGAGTAGGTATTGTTGGAGAATACTGCAGAGGGAGAAGTGCAGAAAAACAGGTGATACATGGAGGTCACAGAGGTGAAGGTAGGCCAGAGTTGGGAAATTATAGATAAAATGACAAGTCAGCAAAGTGACCAGTATGAAAAGAAAAAGGTATAAATGAGATGCTACCAGTGGCACTTGCATCAAAAAAAATTTTGGACACAGGGCAGCTTCATGAAATGATTTGAAAACAGCCCTTATGTCAATCCCTCCCACAGCCACCACTTAACATGGCCAGGCCCCCTTTGAGACCATCTTGCTACATCCACCCAATGAAAAAAACAGGGTTCTCCCTGCAGCTTCTATTCTAGTAGTAGTTGCACCTTCTGCAGCTACTCAGAACCTGAATAATCCATGTATTAATGGAAGACAACAGAGGTGCGGAGCCAGCACTGGCACAGAGTAACTTGGGGTAAAATAGTATTCGCCTGAAGAGACTACAAAGAAGGGTCTTACAAGAACAGCCCAAGGTTCATGTAAGTAATGACCATGACATGGCACAGGCAATCAAAAAGAACCTTTAGCTAGAGGAAAGGGGCAGAACTGGAGGCCATGGATCTGAACATAGTCACCCTCCCAAGGAGACCACACGCAAGGTGGGATCCATTAAGCTCTATGCAAGACTCCTGATTCCCAGACACTTCCCTGCACTTTTTGAAACAATAGGTGAGAGAGCTACTCAAGGAGTCTACTGCTCAGGGGATTCCACACAGCCCAGCACTGGTAGCCACAGCACATGACAGGAAAGTGGGAAATTAGCAGAGCTTATGTTCTGACTGTGGGGAAAACAAAGCTACCTTTGGAGAAAATAGGGAAGGCAGGACATCACCGCAGGACACTAGGGGAGATGTGAAGGTCTTACCCACAGATGCTACAAATGCAAAGATTTCTAGCATCACATTGCAGTAAAGAAGTCTCTGATCGTCATCAAGGAGCCACCACTCCTCCTGGGAGAAGGCAACGGCCACTTCTTCAAAGTTCATGTCCTGTCATAATGGGGACAGTTCATTCCATGATTGGTTTGTCTCCTAGGATTCCAAGTTTGTCATAGCCCCCACCCTCCCGTCCAAAATGCAAATACTTCTCCCACCTCCATGGCCACAATCCTTGTCCAAATACAATCACTCACCTAGACTATTGCAGCAGCCTCCTCCCCGGTCTTTCTGCTACCACCCTCACACCCATATTGTTCACCATGTTGCAGCCACAGGGAGAATGAGACCTGGTCAGATCACCTGTCTCCACTGCTCCTATGACCTGCAGATCAGACACCCAACTTGTCACAAAGCTGCTCTAGACCTGACTCCTGTCCCACTGTTACCAGTTCTCATAAGAAAGAAAGGACACCTGGGGGGCCCCCAACCAGCTCAGCCTCCCTTCCACATCTTTGCAGAGTCTGGAACTTATTCCTGGGAGAGCCTCCCACATCTCATTCCACTGGCTGCCAGAAACAGGGACCACTTCCTATAACCCTAGACCTGGAATTAGGACCCCCAGACTTGGTGTCTGAGTTCCCCAGGTCCAAGGACTGAAAGAATGGCACACAGTCTTAGGACTCCACCATGTCAGGGAGCATAAGAGTGTAAGGCTCTCAAATGAGCTCCACAACCAGTAGCCCTAAGTGACACTGCAGTTGCAGGAATCTGGGGAGCAAGAAAGGTCTGTTGCGAGCCTGGCAACCTCCACCAGGATCCATGGGCTGAGACTGCTCAGTACCCTTGCCCAGCCCCGGGGCCAGGTGACCACCAAATGACTGCATTACCTCAGGGCCTCAGTACTCAGTGCAGGCTCTTGCCAGTTACATTATCTTTTTTTTTTTTAAAGTTTTAATTTTTTTTCTTTTTCAGAGACAGAGGAAAGAAAAGGGAAAGAGAAACATCAATGAGAGAGAAACATGGACTGGCTTTCCCCTACTGGGGTTCGAGCCTGCAACCCAGGCATGTGCCCTGAATGGGAATTAAACCAGCGACCTTCTGCTGCCTGGGAGGATGCCCAACCAACTGAGCCACACCGGCCGGGCCAGTTAGGTTATCTTTTACAAGACTTCACCTTCCTGTCCCTAACTACCAACTCTCCTCTAGTGTGTTCTTCCTTTGAGCAGTTTTTAGAGTACTTTAGAACCCAACCTCAGACAACGTCCCTCTTTTGTTCACATCCGTCTGTTAGGGGCAGAAATAGAAAAGTGGAGACTTGCTGTAGTTATAAGAAATAGTAATCGTGCTCGGTTACCCGTGATTGTCCTGTTCTGATTAGAGAAAGCGCGTTCTGACCTGGCTGAGAGTTGCAGGCCAGGGGCCATGGGAGTTAACCTAGGAAAGCGGTCCCCTCTCCTCTCCCAGAACTGCCATCGTCATGGGAAGGTTAACCGCCTTGTTTCCCAGACAACGGAGCCCAGACCCCCAGCCCGCACTGCCTGTAACCCGCAGCCATTTGCTCTCCCACGCTGCCCGCATTGCTGGCATAAACGCTCATATGTGATTCGACCCTGTCTCAGCGTCACTGGCTCAAGTCGCGACAGGCAGCCGGGACCCACTGCTGTCTGGTTTAACCTCCACACATTTCCACGGCCCCACGGCCTCGGCGCCCGGGGCTGAGCGGGAAGCTCCCCGCACGACCTGCCTCCCCGCCTCGTCACAGCCCAGGGGGCCCCGCGCCCTCCCGCACCGCGTGTCGCCCACG